CAAAACGACGAGGGTCTGAAGAAGTGAGAACTAATTTTTAAAAATGCGTAGACACTCTCTCTGGAAGGAGAGCGGTGGAAAAAAAATGTGTATCATTCGTTTTTTTTTTTTTTTTTTAATTTATTTATTTAATGTAATAAGGATTTATGATTTTTGCACGTGTTTCTGTGCATTCTTGAGTTGCACAGTGTATAGTAATATGTAGTATATATAGTATAGTAGTATGTGTCAGTTACTATATCCGGGCATATCGAGAATGCCGATATGATGTTTATGGATTTTGCGATGGCGTTGCTCTTGTTGCCGAATACCGGCGATTATTTTCCGATAGACAAATTCCGAAGCGGGAAGTGTTTATTAGAGATGCACATTCAGTGTTTAGTCAATATATCGTGCTGGCATACTACACGAGTATCGTACGGATGTTATCGTTGAGGGTCGAATTAATATTTACGGAAAAAATGTTCCTTGTTTTGGTTCACAAAGAATCCGCCGAATTTTTTTACAATAAATACATAACGATACAAAGAGTCGTTTACAGCTGAGAGAAGAGGTAAATATTAATTCCATTGTGACGATACGAAAAATTGTAGTTTAAGTAATTATATATTTCAAATATAAATTATAACAATAATTTTTATCGCAACTCGCAACTTTGAGATAGAATCGAAGAAAATCAGAAATTAATGTCAGAGAGTCAGAGACGTCTTATTTCACTCGCCCTATTGATGTTTGTGGAATGTCAGGCATCCGGTGATTGAATTCGGGAGAGAGAGAGAGAGCCTTCTCACAGGGTCGCGCACAGTTTGATAAATGTTGTCCGTCTCTCGCGATATGCCGGATAATATCTGTAAGGATCTGGCAAGAGAGAACACAGAGGATCGGCCCTTTTTGCCGGCGACGGCATCGTTTGTAATTCGAATCCATCGCCCTTCGCGCGAAGGAACCGGAGTTTCAACGCTTGTAGTACGTCAGCGAGGAATCTCCCGTCAGTAATTTATGGTCTCGCCACGTTCCCGAATTAAGTCCCCCATTTTTCCTCCTCTGCCCTTACGTTTGTTTGAATTAGATCGCGCCCTCGCTAAATTGACGTACATCGCGAACACGAAATTATATATATATATATTTTTTGAGACAGGAATTGATGTCGATATAATTTAGTGAGAGTTTCCTGTTAATTAAAGTATGCAGGACTGTCGACGCGATACTCGAGAAAATACTGCCTTACAATTGCAAGTATCCTTTTAAGATCGCGTTGCGTCTGAGGACACTCGTTACGAGAGAGAGAGTCGCGGAACCCCTTTCGCTTCGAATGTCACGGTCCTAAGGGTGGAATTTTCACTCCTGGACTCTCAGAAGCGCGCGCTAAGGATCATGTTACCGACCCTCCACGCAGATCCAGGTCGTTTATTATTTCGACTTGGACGAAATATCTACGAGGAAGCGACCCTTCTCGAGATGTACGTGGTATATACAGAGAGAAAATGTTGCGCGCCCTCCTACGAGATTAATCTCGTATGCGGAATTAAAACAAACTGTACTTTTTTCAGGCCGTTTAGTTTGATTCCGTAGCTGCGTTTTAACATATATCTGTTGATAATTTATCGTATACAAAGTAGACTGAAACTTTTTGACGGTGATTAAAATTTTCATGTCAGTTAGCGGCTTTGCGATATTTTCGTCTCGTTCGCCCGATGGGGTTATGATTGTAACAGTTTGTCGATCGGCGTTACGACGTTCGGGCTTTACGTTACTCGATAACGGGATAAACGCGCGAATAATTGGGGATTCGCGATTTAGGTAAAAAAAAAAAAAAAAAAAATGTTTACACGCCGCGACATGCGACGACGCGTCGCGATAAAAATTCATTGGCGTATGTGAATGCCGATGGCACGTGTGCATCGTTTATTAAAAAAGCTGTTGGACGGCCGGGCCGGATCGAAGAGAGCGCGCGGGGACATACCTTCGCCATTTTACAGAGGCCCTTTGTCGTGCCGAAATTACAATTGCTATCGTCATTATCGGATGCGTTATGCGCACGATGCGTTTGGGGTGGACGCGGAAATCCCACCCCATTGTTTGTCTCGCGTTTTGATCGAAAACGTCAAAGCGACCGAAAAAACATACATACGTCTCTCCGGAATGCGTCGACCGGAAAAATATGGCCGGGAGGAGAAGGATAGGTATCGAGAGCAATTCGAGAGAGAATACGATATATCGGGAGGATTCTCGCGAGGATCCGCGATCTACTTAATTTCGCGAAACGATCTAGAATTCGCGTAGAACCTACTCCTTCTCCTCGGCCTTCGAGGCAGCTCGCCCGCCTCCTTAATGAACTCCCGCTGTTCCGAAGCGGCCGTTTCTGAACATCGGAATAGGGAATCCCCGCGGAGTTCGTCATTACTGACGCAAAATTAAAGCTAAAAGATACAGAAGGGTCGTGCGCGCTTTCGGCGCGCGGCTTATTAGTTTTGCGCAAAGCGTGGGCGAACATCGAGGCCGTGACTCGCACGAGAGCTCGCGCGATTATTTATGAAGGAATTAATTATTGCGACGACGAATTTAATAGAAATGTTCGCCCTCTTGCTTCCTCCTTCGATTAACGAGGCTGTAATTTCGACTGGTGAATACGACGTGAATCCACTGTTTTCCTCGTCGGGAAAACCGTTTCCCTTTCTCTCTCGCGCACGAGAGATCGCGTGTGTGTGTGTGCCTGTGGGTCCGCGATCACTAATTATTCGGGTATCGTCGAGAGATCCGCGAGCGCGTACGAGCCGTATTACGCGCGCATAATGAAACCCGTATTAACGTATTCGCGCACGCGGATACACGCGAAAATGCGCGGCGGACGTAACCGTAGACACGGCGAACGTCGAGCGTAATATTCGACTAATTACAAATTTAATAACCCCGGGTTCGTTGCCGGTTATTGCGCGACGTCTAAATGAATCGACTCCGCGTCTCTTTCTATCCCACTCGGAGCCTTCCGTCTGACATTCTCCCCATTCGCTGTATATACTTTGCTTTCGAAGATGCTCGACGATTTTGTTGTCGGAAAAAGGGGGAAATGGAAAAGAGCAAAATACAACACAGCAAGCTCTGTCCTAATGGACTCGCGTTACCAATTAAAATTTAATTAGCATCGAAATTAAATTATAATTATTCGAATTATTGCGGTTTACCATTATTATGCTCAAGAGGGATATATATATATTTTTTTTGTCACTTTAGACTAGAGCTAAATTTTTTCAATTCTTATATACGCGACCATTCCGATTAAAGGCAAAGCGTACATATTTCCTCGATTCTTCCTCGTCGGGGAATCTTTACATTTTGCGGCTTGTGCGAGGCGCGCACATAAAGCCGCTCTCCGTTTCCCTTAACACCGCCGTAACTTATCGCTCGTAGACACAGTATTTCTCTCCGGCTCTTTGAAAGCATTTTCTCATTAAAAAATTAAGGGTGGAGAGGGGGAAAGGAGGAGACGGGCGAGAGTGAAAAGGAGCGAAGCGGTTGGGCTTGGGAGGGGCACCGAGTTCGCGGTGCAGAAACGAAGCATGGGGCTGAGACAGGAGGGTTTTGCGGCGGCGGGTAAAGGGGGCGGGGGCGAGGGTGGACGGAGGGGTCGGTAAGTGCTCTGCGGCTCCCAGATGCGCCCAATATTATGTTTAATGATATTAACTTCTTACTTAATGGTCCGCGGTTCGATTCGAGGTGCGAAAGAGGCGCCCCCTCCGGACCGCAAGCCGTAGAAGCCGGAAAAAATATACCCGGGAGAATAATTTGGCGAGTCGAGTGTACGAGAAGAGAGAAAGAGGAAACGGGCGAAAGGCAGAAAAAAAAAAGAATGAGAGAGAAGGACAAAAAGCGAGATAAGAGAAGTATAGAGCGGTAAAAGAGCGCGATATATCGCACGTGAGACGCGTTTACTCTCTCTTTGGCTCTCTTTCTCTCAACTCCCTGCGATATAAATTTGCGACTACGCGGATGACCTTCGCTGTAAACCTCGCGATAAAAGCCATCGGCGGACGCGTCCCCCTTTTTCTGCGGCGATGCTGCCGAGGGTCGCTCTCGCCCTCAACTCTTTACTCACGATTAAGGAATCCTGTTCCTTAGCCAAAGGGCTTGTATTACGGAACTCTCTTTTGTCACCCGAAAATTATTTTCTCTCTGCCGCGAAGTGGTATTATTTTCAGGAGTAGTCAAACGCTCGTTAAGCGATGACGGGGCTGGTAATTTTTAATTATTCTATATTAATCGTGGAAAAATCTTTCGCAAGGTCAATCGTATACTTTCTGCTTATCGATGTTAGGAAGAGCAATCTAAAATATAATTTTATAAGAAGCTTTTATACTTTGCTCGTTCTCCCGTTTACCCCCGACTTTATGACAGAAGCGACCCGCTCGCTTCTTAATGCGAACTGCGCGTGACATTGAGACAGAAATCTTCACGATTCCTGGTAAACCGCGATGGACCCCGGGGGCACGAGTGCCAAACAATATAAAGCCAAGATTAAGAGTTTCTCTAAAGCTCCGGCGCCGCATTAACGAGCGACTCGTAAAGCGGGATGAAATCGAAGTAAACTTTCAAGACGGAAAAAGCGCGGCGAAACACGCTTTTCGAATTCGTTTATCGCTCCGTTTGTTTGCAGATATATATATTTTGTTTTGCAAATATACTCGAACAAATTTGATACCGACTTATCGTTAAGGACGCGGAAAGAAAGATTCTTCTTTATGGCGTCTTCGTGGCGGAATAAATAAACGCGGTGTCGCAGAGAGAACGTGGCGATTAAGAACGATACGTGGTGTACAATGATACGACCGAGAACCGTCGAGACCGATACTTATCTTCCTACGCGGATCCCTCGCGTCCAGCGACTAGAATAATTATTTAATTAATACCCTACGTAGAGTGTGCGGCGGAGTCCACCTCCGCTCGATTTAAATCCCCTCGGATTAATACCAAACCTTTCTTTTCTCTCTCCTTTTCTGTTACAGGCTCCGCGAGGAGAGAAACGACACCGAGAGAGCGCTGGCTTTGGACCACAAACCCAGGGACCTCAGCTCGCACAATGGTAAGGTTGCATAAGCAAACGGGTCTTAAATGTTTAATAGCGATTCTTTCGTTTTGGACAAAAATTACGTCAGATTTTTCGAGAGACATATCGACTCTTAATCAAATCATATCGAAATTTGAAACGTTTGCCTCGAAAGAATTAATATTCCATCGACGTTTTTCACGGGCTTATAATTTCCAATACCGTTTCTCGTATTCCTATACCTGTCTCGTCGCGACGACCTGTCACCTGATGACTTAAGTCGGTAACGCGAGATGCTTAATCGTCAGAAGAGTCGCCGGAGAACGGTCGATCGATGAGGATTCAAAGTCAAACGGCCCAGAAAGATTTTTTACCACGACAGTCCGGCGCGGTCCGACAGAGTCCGATCTCGTGATCGTCCTTTTCTGTATTTCTCTACCTTTCTTTCCATCTGGCTTGTGTTTGTCCGCGATCGAACCAAGAGGCGTCCAGGGCGTTTAGGATCCCGGAGATTAAGTCCGATATCGGGTTACGCCCCAGCACGGTCCTTATATATATACCTCTCTTTCCGATTCCGTATAATATTATAATCCGTCTCTGATGGAATCCGTCCTTCTCTTTTCCCCTTCATCTTCCGCGATAAACACATCTACGCCAAAGACGCCGCGTTTCAGGACGCTTTTACTATATACGTTTCGCATTCTCGAATCTGTCACGTAACGTCGATTAGTCGATTGATCATAAATTTGCATATCTTCATTTATACGCATACACACGTTTGCGCGCGCGTTCGAAGGAGAGAGAGAGGAAGCTTTGGTTGCCGAGATTCCAGCCTCCAGCAGCCGGAGCGTGTAGGAGTCAATTTAACGTAAAAGATGTACGATTCATTAGATCGCGCGCGTTGGGAAGAGAAAACCGCGACCCCTCTCTTTCAACGGCCAACGAGATACATGGCGCTCCAGGGCGCGTACGTGTGTGAACGGCCGAGGCGAGGAGCTGGTCTTTACTGCTGTATACACATACACACCACACACATATACGTACCCCGTGAGATCACGAGTGGCCCGAAGCAATGCGTCAGCGCCGACGACCGTTGCCCAAACAGTATCTATCTATGTCAGGATTAAAATACTAGGATATCAAATACGCGCGCGCGTTCGCTTCGGAGGCGATCGGAGGAAGGAAAAAGGGATGCGCGCGGAAAGAGAAAGAGGTGGTCGCTCGTCGTATACAAGGGGGATGGGAGATTCGGAAAGTGGATAGTCCGCTTGTTCTCGTCTAAACGGGGATGCGCGGTGGCAAATAAAATCCATCAACTTGTCAGTCCGGTCGATGCCATGGAGGCGCATCTCGTTCTTCGTGACCGAACGTTCCACGGGAAAGATTGACGTCGCTTTCCAGCGTTATCGCGCCGGATAGATATATATACGTGGACACAATGTCAATGCGAGGCTGATATCGATTCTGCGCGATATTGGATAGATAGATATATAGTAATATATCTAATCGAATAAATTTGATTAATTTCAGGCTCCTCAAACGGTCACAGCCCGGTTCTAAATCTCTCCAAAACAGCGGGAAGCGGAAGCGTGGGCGAGCAATCCGGAAGCGAGGCGGGCGCGTCGCACCATTCTCAAGACGACGAGGAGGAGGACGATAATCTATCGGAGGACCTCGACGATGACAACGAAAAGGACGAAGGTACGTTTTTAATTTTATTCGCCAAGCGAGACAGCGACGATGCTTGGTATCTCTGATGGGTCCGACGAAAGATGTGCCTCGCGATCAATTAAAACGCGTTCTCTCGCCTTTCACGAAAGTCCGAAAGGCGACGATTTCGACTCGAAAGAACGGAAAAGGAAAGAAAAAGAGGTAGAGAGCGGATTCGTGCTCGTGAAATAATTATATCGATTTTGCCGGACACGCCGCGTTTAAAGACGAGTTCTTCTAGACGGCTGGCGGGTCAGGCCCTCTCATCCATCATCTCTACCGAGAGAGCGCGAGGGACGCTTCGGGATTCGTCTTCCATCGTGCCCTGAGAAACACGCCGCAGCGGTTGCCAAGTTGCATGTAAATCGGGCCGATTCTTAATTGCCTGAAATTAGCGCGAGAAAGTAATATTTAATATAGAAGGATTATAAATGTAATTATTACTTTCGAATAGAATATTTATCGAATACGTCGCGTTTTCCGCGCGTCTCGTTCTTCTTCAGCAACGTTCTCCGAAATGCGCGGTATCCGCGCGAGAAGCGTCACTGTCGGCGCAAAGCGATCATTAGACTCGCATCTTTGGTATTTAGTTTCATTTTTTCGAATGAAAGATGGATCGAGAGATAGAATCTCCGTCCGAGCTTTGTCCCACCTTGCCTTGTTCCGGCGTTCCGAGCTCACCGAAGCATCATAATCGTTTTGATTTCTAATCGACTCGACCATTGTCGCGCCGGCATGTTAATTGGGCCGGGCCAATTAATGAATCCGAAGGATCGCTTGTAAAATCGCGTATCCCCCATAGCCGTGGAACCATTTCACGATACGTGAGATCGGTTCCACGAACGCGTTTCCTGCGGAAAAGAAAGAGAAGGGAACATTCGAGAGAGGACGCGCGTTCGATCATCCCGCGTTGTCTTAATTAATTTTGTTTCTTCTCTCAAGGGCTGCGATTTAATGCACCGAGCGGTCGAATCGTTAAGACATTCGCGGGGTCCGGTGATGATTTATGGTCGAATCGGGACATTTCGTTTTGGAGTCGTACAAATTCACAGAAAGCATAAGATTATTCGCTCTTCATGCTGCGACGTGACAAGCGGAATTGGAAAACATCGCCGCGCAAAATTAGGGGATCCCCCCAAAATTAGTGGGCCCCTTCAATTCCACGAAAGGCCAAAAGGCACGCGAGTTAGACATATAAATTCTGGCGCAATCCGTGTACGACGAGGAGGAGCGGGATCAAATCTCTGTGTCTCGCAGCGTGTCGGATGATCTAAGTAGAATCCCATCGAACGCCCGTGGGAGTGTACACGCTCGTGGAATGCAGTTCTGATTTAATGAGACGCGAGTCACTATCTCCTATCTCCCGCTCTTATTCTCGGAATCGCGTTTACCGCAATTTCTCTTCGATTTTCTGCAACTGGTAATCCTCGATCCAGCCCGACCGTCGAGACAAATTGTTCCTCTCTCGAGTCTTGAGCGATACGTCTCGACGACTTATGTTTGCGGATAATTCTTCCGCTTACCGCTTCTTTTTTCATCGCGGTGGTCCCGTCGCGTTGCCGTCGAGAGGAAGAGATTCTAAAGGCGAAGAAACAAACTTACGCGTCTTTATGGCAAAAAGATTCCGAGAGACTCGTTCTCTTTCTCTCCCGATAATTGTAATGGGCCGCGGCGGAAGATATAGGCGCGCTCGGGATGAAGGCACCGAGAAAAAGGAGAGGAAATAAGGATCGCGGGATTTTAAATGGACGGGGAGAACGAAGACGCCGGCCAACACCGAGGACGCGCGCCGAGCATTAAATCGGTCAATGGCAATAAGTAACCGCGATTGCCGAGTGGCGTTGTAGGTGCGCGCAGATAATTAAAAGACGATACAATAAACCACGTATCGCCAGCCGTAAAGCAGCCGGGTCCAAGGTGCGGGCCGGTCTGTTCCGCGAGCGATCACTTAAGTCTGGAGAACCCACGCAGACATCTTGTCTCACCGCCACTCTCTCTCTCTCTCTCTCTCTTCGGCAATAACCATAAGGCATCCTTTATTCAATGGCCGGGTGTCAATGTTGCAAGTAGAGCGTGTTTCCATGAAGCGTCCGGCGCATCATCCAGGGTGGTCCAGGTTAATCTATTCTCTGTTATAAAAAAAACATGTACGTATAAATCTGTAATTACTTAGAGTAACGTGATTAAAAACATGTAGACATTACGTCTTAGCTTGTAAAGAATAAGAGCTGTAAATTATATTGCAAAATCATCGATAAGGATTTGGTTGTGTTCCCCTCGATATTTCATAGCGAGATGCTGAACAGCCGGTCGGTCGAGACGCGACTAATCGTCCGAGGAATGCCGTGTAGCGTTCAATCCGTGAATTTAATTCGCCCGCGTTGACGTTAAATCAAAAAGTGGCGAAGGGTAACAAGTAGTCGTCGCGAGATTACGACTTCGAGACACGCACGCGATATAAGTCTCGGGAGAGGCCCCTCCTTTACATCGGGCGTTGTTCGACGTTCGTTACGTTCGTTGTGGCGAATTTATCATTGACGTTTTGCTCTCGACAACGCGGAGCTATTTATTTATCGCCGACGAGGATTCTGCGGAAGTGAGATGGAAATATTACTTTTCAGATTTGTCAGACGTGCCGGAGAATCTGCCGTTGCCGGCACCGGGCTCGGAAAGTCCACCCCAGGCCCTCAACTACTCGCAGATAGCCTCGGCGGCGGTCGCCGTGTCTCAGAGCGCCCAGGATCCCTCGGTCTCGAGTACGGAGACCCTGCTGAGGAATATCCAGGGCCTGCTCAAGGTCGCGGCCGACAACGCGAGGCAGCAGGAGAGGCAAATCAACTACGAGAAAGGTCAGTGGCAAGGCTTTCTTAAGACACTCGAGGGCGCTCTCCACAATTTCATTATCTTCCAGCTCTCCCAGAACCACATTAAGAGGCATTAGTCCCTGTCCCATCTTCCTCGCCTCTCCGCGCTTCTTGCTCTTTATCTCGCTCTCTATTTCGCAGCCTCATCTATACCGCATCCCTTCCCTGTCCCTCAACTTTTGTCTCGCTTGCATCGCGTTAAGATGGCGAATACGCGAAATGGAGATGGTAATGTGCGTGTGGTCGGGGAGGGAGAGCTGGACGAATATCGTAAGACAAAAATGCGAATGATATATGGAATTTTGCTTTTTATCTCGAGGCAAACTTTAGCGTGTAATACGTACTCGACGCTTTCCTTCGCGCACAAAGTATTTTAATATGCGTGCGCTAAGCTGCGTATAACATAGGATGTAGTAATTCGACATGCATATTATTACTGCGAAATTCTGAAATCAATAAAACGACCCTTTGTGAGTGGCGTCTCGAAAGTGATTCTTGTAAATATTTTGCGCAAGAAGCGACGTGACCTTCCACCGATGAAATATCGCTCGTAAAAAAAAAAAAAAAAATAATAAAAATGAAAACACTGTGTTTGGCGCGACGAGAAGATGTCGTTCGCGAGCGACTCGGAGGATAAATTTAAATGTCGTTGTCGCGTAGATAGAGTCTGTACTGCAGATTACGATGAGAACGTAGGCAAGACCCATTAAGAACGAGTCGGTGTGCGGCGCGAGATGACGTGCAGCATACGACTTCTTTCTCATTAACGGCGCGTGATAAATAACGCCGGCGTTATTATTAAATATCCTCGTCGCGAGAGAGATCGTCTCGGAACGCTTCGCACGAAAAAAAAGGGAGGGATCGACGCAAGAAATGGCACAAAGTAGTCGTCTCTCGCGCGTTGAGGTTTCTTCGGCATCGAGATGGAATTAATATTATAGTATTACTCTATGATAAAACAGAGATTTTGATGTAAATTCTCGAGTCATTCATTCGATATCGATCGAAAAGTATATATCGTTAATCAGTTTAATTGCGATGACATTTGACAAAAAAATCGTATTATGATTGAAAAGATGATAACGCGCAATCGACAATGTATCTCTTATATGTCATTAGATGTAAACGAGTTGCCATTATAGTCGCTAATTGTTAATACTAATAGTATGCGATAATTCTATTGTCTAAGCTTTGTTGCGAAACGCAAGGGACGGGGTGCATCGCCGATAATCGCTGATTCACCAAGAGTCTCGTAGATGCAATTATGAAGAAAAAGGAATGTACGAATAAAAAGCGCTACGTAAAACGATATACACAACGCAAAGTTGATTTCATAGCCGAGCGATCGCAGTTTCTCGACGTATATATTATATTGTGCGCCAAGAGAGCGGAAAGAACATGCTCGAGATATTTTTTACGTAAAATTCAATTCTCGCGGCAATTTCGAACTGTCATCGATCGACTATATTTTCACTCTTATTTTCGCAACATGAATTAACGTTAAATTATCTGCATACATCTAGAATCTCTGGGACATAAACGTCTCGTCTAAAGCGTATAACTATAAACGTATATTGAGTGTAAATGACATTTAGCGTTTCTCTAAACACACGTACACATTTCCTTTTAAAATTATAATCCTTTTAACACTTTATACGCTATATCGCGGATGCGGAATAAAATTGCCACATTTAGCGCCGGATGTAGTCTCCGGATTCCGTGCGCGAAGCACATCGGTGACTCTCGGAGAGGTCGACCGAGAAAGACTAACCAACGCCGATGTCGTCGTCGTCGCCGCAATCTTCGGCGGACCGGGCGGGCTCTCAATGTACAAGCGTTCCTTATCTGCGTTTTCGCAGGTTTTAAGAGGCGAATCCCCATAAACCCGCGTCCGCTATCCGGTCGGAGTCGCGCGTCCCACAACGGCGCGTTTAATAAATTCCGCGCGAAAGGTGACCACGGGACTTTAATTACCCATTAGCCGATACAAAGTGTCATTTTCAGGATCGTTAACTAATGCGTTTGCCGGCATTAACGTTAGGAATGCGCCGGGCATCGCGACCACGGCATTGACGGCGCTTAAGACGGCAGCTTCCCATATAGTTGCACGTGTGCGTCGATTCGCAGGGGATGAGGGAGTAGATTCCCCAGGGAAAAGAGAGATCTGAAAAAAAAAACGACGCGCGCTTCCCATGGCTAGTGGCCCCCAGCCTCGCGACTTAACGAACAGTCTTCGACGATTGTGCCTTTTTTCCTGTTCCGAAATGCACGAACACGATTCACTTGCATAATTCGTGCCTTGCTTTTGGCAACATTCCACTAACGACGTCGTGGATTCCTATTAATTCCCATTAAATCGCGCAACACTTGTGAGCAAGTAGTAAAGACCGAAAACTCCTCAATATTATGACATGAGTTGGTGCATCTCTTTGATTTCCGAGATTAAATATATTATTAATGTCTTTCACCAAGATGTTTCAAGCATATTATTTGAACCGGTAGTTCATTGATCGCGCAATATCACCATAGGGAGATCTCCCTTCGGCTGGATAAGCGCGCGGACTTTAATAAGAAGGGACGCGCCCGATCGGGCGGCCTAAAAGAATCGGCTCTCGCGGACACGTGAACGTTAACGAGTTCATTTGGCGCGCGTTGTGACGTTAAGCTCGGAATGTGCGGCGGTTATTGCTGGTCGGCTTAACGGATTCCGCGTCGTAGAGATCTCCAGCGCGAGTCGATCGACAGGAGAGATGAGAAAAGGGTGAGAGAGGGGGCCGATAAAGGGCGCTGCTGCGGTACAGAGGAAGGGAAGAAAAAAGAACCAACGACGACGACGACGACGACGACAGAGACGACGACGGAGAAACGGGGACGATGCGGGACCGGGAGGGAAGTAATCGGAAAGAGAGTAAGAGAGGTCCGATTTAATACTCGAACGAGCAGCTCGTTTTACACCAGATGGTTTTACATACAGCCACTATCGTGTTACCAACCTTCGGCCGTATGGGTGCATTCGTATCTCCGTTGGCACGAGGAGATCCGGGCGCCTTCGTACGCGCTCGCACGCTCTTGCACACCTACACACACGAATGCACTTATGTATACGTACATGCATCGCGTTTGCTCGTCGGTTTCAAGCCAACCCGGTGGAGATGAGGGAATATTGTCGATATTACTCGTTCCTCTCTCTTTTTTTTTTTTTTTTTTTTTTTTTTTATTAGCGAGTCTCTAACGCGACCAGATTGCTCCTACCGTAGAGACGGGACTGAGGATTGTCGTCGTTGTTGCCCTAAAAAGAGCGACATACTATCGTCGCGCTCTCGCAAGCGTGTCGAAGAGATCTGAGAGCGTTTATTTATCCTCTCCACTCGACTCGAGTTTCGTAAACGCGCTGATGCACTGGGAGATTTTTATATGCATGCGACACGGAGAACCAGCGCGAACACACGCTCCGAAGATCGCGACGATCTCATTACGAAGACGCTCGTCCGAGCGTTACGCGTTATGCGTTTAATGTCGGCGGAATAACACGAGATTGAATGCTCGATTGAATAGGCTCGAAGGCAATCACATGCAGATATAATTTTCCAGATGAATGATTAAAAAAGGATCGTAAAAAGACCATTGATTTAATATCTCTCTCTCTCTCTCTCTCTCTCTCTCTCTCTCTCTCTCTCTCTCTCTTTGCGGCTTTTGAGATCGTATTCCAGGATTTTTGTTAGAGTTAAGTACAGTCAAGTGTGTGCGTCAATAGAACTATCTTATGATAGTTTAACGCGTTGTTTTTCTCAACTGAGGAAGGATAAGACAATCCACCTTATCAAGGATGCGCGCTATTCTCATTTATCGTTCAAATATTTGCTCGTTACGGACAAGGCGAGTACACTCTCGGAGCCAAGAGAAGAGAGAGAGAGAGGGCCGGTAAGTTACATGCCGCACGAAGGACAATATGAACCTGGCCAGAGATCCTGGCGAGGAGCCAGCTAGCGCTGCGGCTGCTATCTTCGATCCTCGACGAGATAAGGGAAGCGTAGGAGCGGGATTATGTGTGTCCGGGCCCCACCGGTCCCCGGTTAAAGGGCTCCTCTTGGGAGCGCGGAATATAAAGAGGGGATTGAGTTGTAGCCGCGAGTGGAGGATCTTATGTAGATTCCTTGTAGATCGTGCACCCGATTCGATCGCGATCGGTTCTGCGTCCGGTACCGAGTTAATTAAAATTGTAGGAGCCCCACAACGTCTCTTTCTCCTTCTCCGTCTCTTTCTTTCTTCCTTCTCGAAACTCTTCCTCTGCCATTGCCCTTTGTCCACCCTATTCTTTGCCATTTTCCTCGTTTGCCGCGAGCGTAACGTCTTTCTTTTTCTTTTTTTTTCCCTCCATCTCCCTCTCTGCTTCAGCCTGGCTCCACGGAGGCTGCTCAGCGGCTGGCACAACCGCGCCTCGCTACATAAAATCCTACGATTTTTGGCCGTCGCTGCTTGGGAGGCTCCGCTCACGTGAAATCCTATTACCGCGAGCGACGGTGCGGCACGGTGGAGATGCAGGATGCGATCGCTCGTATCCTATACCACAGGGCTATCGAGTAGGTATCCGCGTTACGAATGAAACGCCGCTGTCGTGGTACATAGAGATACAAACGAGACGAGATCGTTTTCCGCGCTGATGGGAACTGCATCGCAATCGAGAGCCATTACAGTCACGCAACCAATGTCGTCAATCATAAATCCATCTGATTACCGATATTGCCTTGAGCTTTAAAATACCAGAAAGCAAAGAGTTAAGAGCTGTAGAAAAATTGCGTGTCGTTTATTTTTTTTTAATTTATAATCTTATCCTTAGACACCGCGTGTTGAATATTAAATGTACGATGTATACATTTGCGCGTGTTTCTCTCTATTGTGAATTCTTTCGATAGGTGTCTCTTCATCCCCGACAAGACAGGGATGGCGAGCGTAAATATTTTCAAGTGCAAACAGAAATATTGATA